GTATGTTATAGCGCACACGTTAAATGTTACATTCTACCATTTATATTATGAACTTCATCAGTGGCATAACTGGAGGTTGGCAAGTCAATAAAATGCCACGGGCCCCAGCTGGAAGAGACCCCAGTTCAGAGGTTTTCATCTGAACTACTCCGTTTATTATTAGGTACGGGGGCCCCACCGATGAATTTGCCATCGGACTCGAAGGGTATAGTTACGCTACTGAACCTCATGTAGTACAGGGCATAATTCCAGACAACGCCTTATTAGGAACACCGAAAATCTCGAAGCCCGCTGATTGGTTAAGCAAAAACTCAACTAATGTAATGTTACTCAATCAATGATTTATTAAATTTGACGAAAGCACTCTTTAACCTCTTATCAGCATATGAGACACAATAGAAAACACATTATGTCTCGCGTATATCTACGCTCCCGGCATACCATGGGTTAATTCACAGAGCGAGACAACAATATTCATATAATTTCATACATTTCACTAACACAAAAATTATTTAAATACTCCAGGAATTAATAATAACGGCATTTTACTCTACATTTAACACATAGACTATCATATAACGAACAGTGCAGTTTGTCCTATGGCAAATAATATTTATAGCTTTCATATAACAACATATTAGTTAGAAGGTCACTGATTGGTCCGTTTTCTTAGGTACTCTTCAGTTTACGTATGAACGGCGCGTGAGTGGTAACACTTCTTTACAGAGTGTGAAAAATAAGTGATCTTTAGTAGTATTGAAATAGTATAAGTGCCGGTCGAATAGAATAGAAATGTCAACTTATGAGATTGACATTAGAGTAAATTGATGTCATTTTGTGTGAACCCTATATTTCGACTTTAAAACATTCGACATCGTTTAGGCAATTTGGTGGCTACATTGACCTGGAAAATTATTAAAAATGTATTTTGTTTTGTTGGATTACGAGTGAATGTCCATTACCTATTTATCGTTCTGTATAAAATATTCTATTGAAATAACTTTATCATCTTCAGTATTCGACACGCTTCACTTTACTGTCTGAAAAATGGATTATTATTTATTATCCACATTCGATCTTAGTGCTTAGGTTGAAATCCATGTTACCACTGACAAGTCGATTGAATATAAATAAAGCAATGTGCACATATGCATATAATTTACTAAACCTATGGACTTGGGGCGGTACGGGTTCATTAATTATATCTTTTCTTAGTATAATAAATTAGTGACTAAAATATTTTAACCAAAAAATATAAGTGACAAGGAATTTCATGATAATAGATAATATAACCGTCACCTATAGTGAATAATCATTTTCTGGACTTAATTTACAACCTAAATAGAAACATATTAATATTTAATAATTAGTTTTTCAATCATACTAAACTTGTCTATAATTTTGCTGACATCAATTTGACGACAAGAATTATCGCGAACGCGACTTTTTAGCCGATTGCGTCGAAATAAAAGGATATTTTTAGACTGAAATCTTACATTCTTGATTGTGATTTTTACTTGATTAGAATTTCGAAATAACAAATTAGTCCAAGCGGGATTGCTATTCAGCGCTTTCTATGACACGATGAGTAAGAGCTAGGTTCGAATCCCACTAACATTAATTGTTTATTCAAAACTTATTAACGTATCAAGCCAACTTAATCAATGTTTAATTGTCAAAACTCAGCACATTTTTTATATGTATTTGATGGGCCGACGTTTGACCACTATCTCGCCTGGTGGTAAGCGATGATTCGGTCTACGATGGAGCACGTCGACCCATAAGCAACCTATTAACTCGGGCCTTGAAGACGCCCAGGTACATACCCTTCAGGAGACAGAGTCTGGCAAAGAATTTGATCAACAGTTTGATGCAGCAAATCATGACGTCACCGATGTCAAAAGTTACCACGAAAATAGTCCCTAAATACACTAAGAAATGCTAAAAACAACACTATAAGCTAGCGAACGAGCATTAAATAAAAGCGACATAACGTGAGAACACTAACGTAACGTAAAAATCACAATAAAACACCACCAAACTTAACAATGTGTAACTCTGAATAATTTCTATAAACCTTTCATTTTCAACTTTATTTATTATCTGTTTAGATATATTTTTGAATGAGTAAGGGATTTCATTAGATAGACTTATAAGCAGTATGATTTTCAGTTCCATTGTCGTTTACTTAAGGACTAAATTAGCTGTGTCTCTGGGTAATTTTCGACAGTTGAAACCCCTTAATCAAATACAATATTTCATACCCAATGTATATTATTGACAAGCGTGCAGTGTTAGCAGTAATGCAGAGTTTAAAGCCTTCACGATAACACTTAATTCCTTATCTCTTTCCATTCCATTCCTTTCGAAAAATCCTTCCTTAACTGTATATTAGGTACTTCATTACTTAAAAATGTCTTATTAACATTCTAGAATAATTTATTTGCCAAATCCTGTCAAAAAGACTTAGGTATTTTTGCAAACTAACTGAATATAATAAGAAGAATTGCGTATGTAACAATAATAATGATTTTTTATTTTTAATCTGTTTGCTGACGTACCAAAAAGGAAAATGTCAAAAAGTCTTTAGCACATGTAACAGTCGTTCGTTTTTCAGTCTAAAGCATACAATACAAATGCATTATTCCCTGTCTAATCCAAAAAATAATTATAATATTGTGTATTACTGAATTAATGTAGACATCAAATATGGAAGTTATGGTCAAAGATACATTGAAATGATTTTAAGCGAGAATAATCTAATTTTGCCATTGTAACTATGGAACAGAGTCATTTTTGCAAGTCACAAGTCATAGAATAAACAGAAAAAAATTTAATGACAATGTGTAGTCCACAAACCCTTGTTAAACTTTGGTACCTTTAATTTTGATTGTAATTCTTCGGTGTCTAAAATTTAATTCAGTAATAAACAAATTATATCGATATCAAATGAGTTTTCAAGTAATCTAAGCGCATACAGACTCCCACCCATCTTAAGCGAACCAACTAACAAATACAAAACAAAACTAAAAATAAACTACAATAAACAAAAATAATAGATTCAATACAAATTGTATGAGGCAATCATTTAAACTACATAGTAATAAAAATTCGAGGAAAAATACATAATTACTATTTATAAGTAAATACTTAGAATAATTTCCACCTATAAGGCTTAAGCAGACGTGTACGCAGACGTAAGCGTGTGCGTGTACGCACCACTGAGTTGTAATGTATGGGACTGTCGTCGACGCGCGCACGCCTACGTTACGCCAGCGGTGTCCTGTCTCATTCCATTTTCCTTTATGGCATAAGTGGCAAACGAACAGACGAGTCACCTGATGGTAAGCAATCGGCGTCGCCAATGGACACTCGCAATACTAGAGAAGTTTAAACTGCGTTGCCAGCCTTTTAGGCATTAAGAAATTAGAAATAGGGACTGGACTTATGAGAAATAAGGAGAGGGGGATTGGGCCTCCGCTAACCTCATTCATACGACGAAACCCAATGCAAGTGTTATTTCACGTCGGTTTTCTGTGAGGTCCAGGGTATTACTCCGGTGTAATCAACCCATTCGAGCCGATATTACAACTTAGTGGTACGTGCACGTCCTCAGTACGGATCCAGTCTGCTTAAACTTTTATCGAGACACAATAGGTGTATGAAATCAATTCGAGTGGTTGAATAGCAAATAGGACACTTAACATTTTTTTCTTTAATTAACACGACGATGCCCTTATATTAGCACAAGAACCACATTTTTTTTTTTGTTTATAAATCTGTAATTTTTGTTCACCATACAGCAACTGAGTTTGACCATGAACATTTCGATTCCAATTGATTTTTATATTAAAACAAGTCAATAAAATGCATCCAAAGGTTTCACTTCATTTTGTCATGATCACATCTCAAAGTTGTTCACCATGTTTATATTAAAAGATTGATGGTAAACAAAAACTAAGATTTTTAATTAAATCTAACACAAATAAGTTTGAAAGAGCGTCAGTGAATTAATTAATTTAGACATTTTTTTTAATGTTCTCTACTGAAAGAAGGACTCTTCCAAGCTTATTTTTTAAATGACAAATATGGAGTAATTTACTAATGAATTGTCATTTAAAAACTACGTACGTACGTACACAAAACTACGATATTTTCGTATAGTTTGAGGAAGATGTATTTTTTTTAATATTATTTTACTATCGATAGCCTATGTAAACACTATGTTTTAGTTTAAAATTTAATTTTAATATTATTATACTTCCCGAAGGATACCGTTATGTTCTGACGGGAGAGTAAATAAATTACCACTATATATTTTTATACGGTTTGTATTTATCATTAACTTTGATATTATTTTTCTTTGGTAGTTAACAATTTTTGTCGTGTTTAAAATATTTGCCTACGTTTCTGATAAGGTACTTACAGTTGGTTAAGTTTCGCTAAATGCAAAGAATTAAGAACCTTACTACATATGTTATATGAAAGATTTTTCTATAATTTTATTGTTCTCTTCATATTTTTGGCTGGAAATGTTGTCTTATAGAATATATTGAGTAGTTTTTAGGTGTTTTCTATATCAAAGTGAATGATAAATACAATATTAGACTAGAACAATTGTTTTCCTTGCATGGTGCGCGGGATATGTTCCTCCTTAGAACACTTTCACACTTCAAGGAACGAACGCTGCGTTTATCATCATATTATTTCTTTTAAAATAATTCTATGGACAAAATCGTCAATATTATGAATTGAATATTACAAATTACTAACTAACGAAACATAATTGATACATAATATTAAGATTCTAAAAAAAAATAGTCTAGTTTTTATGAAAAATTGTCCCCAACTCTTTCTAAAACACAAAGACAATAAGACACCCATAAATTTGTCCTATAAAATATTGATAATACAAAACGCAGCGATTTTCCCTAAAATGTGAAGTTCTTTGCCTGGCTGTGACCATAAATTTTACCTGTAATTGTACTAGCTCGGCGCGTCTAAGGTACCAAGTTTAGTATATTCCTGTGTTCCAACGATTCCTTCAGAGCGTAGAATAGTTGCAGCTGTTGTTCAGGTTTTAGGTTGTATACCTGTCGAGAAAAATAGTAATTTATTAGTCATGACATTTTTTACTTAGGAAAGGGCCCACGCCATATACGAGTATTTGGAATATAATCAAGCGTTACTTTGCGGAAGTCCATGCTTCAGTAACAACTGGGGCGGGTAACATTATCTGTATGCAAATTGATTCCTTCAGCGAAATAAAAACTAAATATTTTCCCAGTTGTTAGTAAATAACGCTACATTTTTTCTGCAGGACCAAAATACGAGTGAAGTTAATTAAATGCACAATACACTTCTGCGTACAATACGTATCTAAAGATAGGTATCCGATTTTCGAATAAAAAAATATTGTTTAAAAATTATTGTTGAGTAGGTATTTGCTGAAATGTATGCAGCAAAAGTCAACAGTAATTAATAAGCAAAGAGAGAAAATAGTAGAAGGAGCGTAAGAAGGTATTTGCCCTGCAGCGGCAGTTCAGATTTTGCCGGCAAAAACCTGACAGTGCCTGAAAAATGATTAAATAATAGTGAGCCAAGAGTTAAAGGTCTCACCTGCTGCAACAGTTTCTGCGGCGTGGCGGTACGTATGAAGCTGGTAATGTAGACGTTGACGAAGGTGGCCATCAGGAACTGGCAGTCGAAGCGGTCCATGATGCCGCCGTGTCCGGGGATCACGTCACCAAAGTCCTGGAAACGGAACGAAAACATTTTTATACACAATAGTTATAATAAAACTCGAGAAGTCGGTTGCACAAGTGGCAGATTTAACCTTTTTTATTTATACTATAGATAAAATAGAGCACAGTATACATAGACTATAGAGATACATGCAGTGATGCATAAATTAGTAAACTATTATTTTGATATAATCTATAACAAGTTATGTACATCATTTATTTACTGAATTACAAAGCTTTTTATTCTACAAGCTTACCTTGATTTTGAACGCGCGTTTAAATCCTGAAGCGAAGAATCCTCCAAATGGTCCGATGACTGAGCTGAACGTGCTTAGGCATAGAGAGTGGATCATGAACGGGTAGATGTTCAGCTTCTCCATACCAAACTGGAAGCAGGCAAAAGTTCATCTTAATATATTCATAATAAAGTACACGTTACACAGAGTACAAATTACTTTATACAACAGTACAATTACTTTAAATTAACAATTTCAAAGCAAAATGTAATTAACACAAACTTTTCAATCACCAATTAATTTTTAACTGTAGTATAAAATTGACATATATTTGACAGTTTTCAGTATGGAAGAATTGTCCAACATTCAAAGTTAAAATCGGCTCTAAAGCTTCTCAAGCTTAACTACAAAGCTCTACTAGTTCGAGTCACAGAGCGACTGTTCCATATGAGCAGCGTCCCTTCTGTGCCTCGAAACTAGTAGAGCTTTCCTCATTATATTTACGTGAATAACTCGTCATTTTAGTTAATTCAGTGTGTTTCACGATAGTTATTATAAAAACTTCTCAAGCTTCTAAGTCCCATTCTTCATTATCTCTATCATCACTTAGACTACATAGTACATGAGAAAATATAAATATTATCTTTAAAATGCTGCCAAAAAGAAGTAGTGAGGTCTTAGTAAGTCCAGATTTTGAATAAGTAGTTCTAGGGGCCAATATTTCAATCGTCAAGTAATTTTTAAATGTAGAATAAAATTGACTGCCTCGTTGGCCGAGTGGTCGCAAGTGCGGCTGCCGGGCAAGGGGTCTCGGGTTCGATTCCCGGGCCGGGCAAAGTATTACTGGGTTTTTAAAATTTTCAGTAGTAGCACGGAGTCTGGAAATGTGCCCGGTATATGGCAATAGGCTCACCCCATTATTTATTAATATTACATGGGACTCATAACATAAATAGTGAAAAGTGGGTGGTACATTGTACAGTGGCATTAAGTGCCGAAATGTGCGCCTCTGCCTACCCCTTCGGGGGATAAAAAGGTGTGATGTAATAAAATTATGTTATGTAATAAAATTGACATTTAACAGTATTTAGGATGGAAGAATTATCAAATGTTCAAAGTTATTCTTCAGTTAAAATGTATCTAGCATTGGAAAAATCGGCCCTAAGTATCTAACTATAGGTCACACAAAGGTTACTTACAACTTTCATAACGGGCTGCACGAACTGCGGTGGCGTGTACTCTTGGAGCCGGAACAGCAGCGACGGCTCACAGTCCATGGTCATGCGGCCCAGCGACTCCGAGTACTCGATGGGGCACACCAAGTACGGGTACTGGGACATCATGTACGACATCTGGGGGTGGGAATAGGAGATATAACAGTTTAGTACAAGTCACTTTTGGTGAGGTTAGGTTAGGTTAAATTGCCGTTCCGCGGATGAATTGGGACTCCCGCGGCCCCGCGCGCACTTGTGAGGAGACACTGGGTGGTTTTAGCCGGTAAGAGTCCTGCACACCCCTCCGCCTTTCCCCAGGCGGAGGCAGTCCATGAGGATTTCCCCCCATTAAAAAAAAAAGGTTAAATTGCCGTTGTTCTTTGTTAATAACTAACATGGTTATTCATTTCCTGGAGAGGCCAGGGAGATATCATTAAAGAACCAAAGTTTAGTAAAATGCTTGTCATTTTTCTATTAAAATTATTTATTTCCTTGCTGTGCCCGACAGGGTCCACGATGAACTTTATTATTCGTCTGTTAATGATGATGATAAACAATGAATTGTATCTACGTTACCACTTAAGACCAATAAAAAACTGTTGAAGGTAAATCCTCCGCTAACACCGGTCACCGGTGACCCCCATGGCGTTTAACGTGTTAAGTCAAACATTGTGGAATGCAATAAAGTGTTTGTATTTTTTTCTGAATTATATTTGCCCACTTAAATATCCTAAGTAAGATTTGTCATTTTTATTTTAACCATTAATTAGTTCAGTTCATATTTGCAAACTATTAACACCCACATCATAAAACATCACATACCACAAGTCCAAAAACAACGGTAGATATGCCACCACCGATGAAACCCTCCCAGGTCTTCTTGGGGCTCAGCTTGATGAGCGGGGTCTTTCCGAAGAAGAAGCCGAACACGTAAGCCATGACGTCATTGCAGATGATCATAGACACCGGCACTATGAACCATATTAGACCTGAAACAAAGTAGTACATAGATTATTTTCTAAAACAGGACAATGACATAAAAATGCTATAATTAGAGCTTTTTTACTCTATAATTAGATTAAATTATTAAGTTAATTTAAATTAACTAAAAATCGCGGGTTCGTGAACATATTGAGAAAAGCTCTACTAGTTTCGAACAACAGAGGGGTTCTTCCTCATGAGCAGCGGCGCGGTCGCGGTTAATTTAGTATGTCTCACGATAGTTATTATTTAGTTAATTTAGATCCGTGAGTAATCCGTGATCGGCGCTCTGATTGGCCGGCTCAAGTGAACCAACCAATCAGAACGCTTAACGCGCTCGATACTGTTACGATACGATTGCGATAGTTATTCGTGGTTGGCACTCTGGAGAGCATTATGTGCTTGATACTTTCATGTAAAATCAACTATAAAAAGCATTTTTTGCAGTAAAAACAGTACACAGATACTTGTGTGTAAACATAATTCTACGTGACCGACAACTGTAGATTTGTCCTTTAGATAAATCGTATGCCGTACATATAGGTATAGATGCCAGTTGTTATAGGTATAACGAATAAGTTTAATTATAAAAGAAAGAACGTCGATCTACGTGAATTCTGTATTACTGCATTTCTGTATTACTTACAACAGTATTTTCTAAATTAACTAAAAATCGCGGGTTACTCATGCTAATATACTGATAAAAGCTGTACTAGTTTCGAACTACACAGGGGTTCTTCCTCATGAGCAGCGTGCGCGGTCGCGGTCATTAATTGATTTTATGACCAACTTAATTTTAGTACTTTGCAGTAAATTTTTAAGAAATAAGTATGCTGTTTGACGTTGTAAAAACGTGACGTCACAACACACAATCCTGTACAAAATGCATAGAAACCTGTAATTTTTGACAGTTCGAAAAAGTATTGAATTTGACTAGTTGGTGAGTATGCAACTAAAATAAAAGTTCCTTTGAATGCTGTTCTACTGTACCACAGAAATACATATCCATAAACAAAACAAAACCTAAAAAAAAAAACAAATTTTCCCAGCCCATAACCACACCGCAATCTGCAATCTATCCACACATACAACAATGTCCGGTGGTTAGCATTAATGTCGTTTAAAATACGATAAATCACAATACAACGGTTAAAACTATGTTATTGAGCGACCAATCAGATCTTCTAGTCATAATTGTGACCCATTTCTGTCCAACGGTTGTACCAAGATAAGTATCGTTGGCTAGCCATTCGTTTTTGTTGTTATAAAATAAAAAGCAATTGGAAATATTGATCGTTAGTTGAGAACAGAATTGTTTAACAAATTGGTATAGGTTATACCTAATACATTTTTCATTTACTTTTTCCCAGTTAGAAAATATTTATTTTTAACCGACCTCAAAAAAGGAGGAGGTTCTCAATTCAGCCGTATATATGCTTTTTTTTATTTATTTACACTTCTGTATATAATATACGATGGCGGACTTAATGCCGGGTGGCATTCTCTAACAGTCAACCATGGGGTGATGCAGAGATGTGTTAGAATATGAATACTACTAATTTTTTTGTCCCCAATATCGTTCAATATTAACACAATTATTAAATTCTTAATACGTGTGTTAATTCCTATATTCATGGAATCTATTGAAAAAAGGAACGTTAGATACAAAAAATACCCAATCGCTTAAGCCCCAATTTTAATTCAATTAAGGCTTAATGGATTTGTATCAGCACGCATCGCCTTTGGGAAACGATAAATTATGCTCCTTCATATAATATTGATGTGTCCGATCGTGGAAACATATTTTTATATCTACGAAAACGTATGTATGTCATGAAACCGCAAATGTTATTTTTTAGTAATCTAAAATTGTATGAACTACACAATAGTCAACATAATTATTTAATGTTATAAGCGTCAATTACAATCATTGAGCGCACCTCAAAGAGCCATCAAACCACCATAGACAGGAACTGATGAAGACCTAGGTTGCCGGAGCTCCGGCTCGAAGCAGAACTTAGAACATGGTTGTTTTTAACCAGTAAGAGTCCTGAAAAACAGCTAACAATGATTAAGATGAGAGTGTACAAGTCAACCACCAAAACGCATTTATTGACTTGCTATAAATAATATTATTATAACTGATCTTTCTTCTATCGTTCTCCTTTACCTAGCCTTTCAGCCCTCAACCAAATAAAAAACCAACGATTAACATTTAGATTCATTTCGTAAGTAGAATGTTTTGTACATTTTCAGCGACAGAACGAAACAAAGTGCTACGGTCTCATTAACCCCGATACGTCGGTCGTGGTTTAAGAGTTAAGATTACAGAATCTATCACCGAGGTTTGCAAAAGGGTTGAAAATGCGATCGTTAATGCATGCTACGTACAAAATGGAATGAAAAAATATTATGAACATATTGTAGATTTTTTTCAAAGATTCTGGTACATGTTTTTTATATTTCTGGTATATTTGATGGGCTGACATTTGGCCACTATTGCACCTGGTGGTAAGCGATGATGCGGCCTACGATGGAGCACGATTGCTCATAAGCAACCTCTCCACTCGGGCGTTGAAGACACCCGTCTGGAAACACAGGCTCTGGCTGACATCTTTCTAAGTTTTATTTAAATAATAAAAAACTTCCATTCAATAACATTAAAGAAAATTCTATACAAGTACAAATAGTCTCAAAATACCTTTCTCTACCCAGGAATAAAACCTAGAATCTCATCTAATTTACCTATATTCAATCATAAACCACTATCTGAACCATCATAAATATTTCAACGCTACGAATAATCTTCTATCGCCTCGCTTCATTCACATCATCACATCAGCCCGATTACAATATCGACACAAAATCGATAAGTAATCTATTGTATGTATGTGTATATTTTTACATACATTGTTGACTTGCAAAGCGTACCAGCTGTGGAAACAATGCCGAGGTTAAAGATCAAAAAGCTTCTAAGAATAAAATGAACGTGTTTTGTGTAGAGGTAGTGGTACTTATCTGAATTTTTGCTGTGTATGAGATTAACTAGTGCATGTATCGTAACAGCATTATGTTGAAGTGCTTTAGAATTAATTGCATGAAATACTATGTAGTTGTGAGATAGCGAAAGCTTAATATGCATTCTATCATTTGTTACCACCTTCATACCAATCGGGGGTGTCAATAAAACCGACTAAGGAGCTACTACACATTTGACTGAGACCGGGCTTTCACTTCGATCTTCAATCAATCTGTCAAGCGAGAAGATTTTAATTGTTTTATGGAATACACTAGTGGACGAGCTGACGGATCACTGATGGTAAGCAATCGACGCCGTCCATGGCCACGTGAAACACCAGAGGCGTTACAAGTGCTTTACGGGCCTTTTGGGGATTAGGAATTTGAGGATTATTGGGAATTAGGGGATTGGGGAGATTGGGGAGGGAAGTCATTGGGTCTCCGGTAACCTTACTCACACGACGAAACACAACGCAAGTGTTGTTTCATGTCGGTTGTCTGTGAGACCGTGGTATCACTCCGGTCGACCCGACACATTCGTGCCGAAGCATGGCTCTCCCACACTTAAAATTATGGCAAATCCTCTAATGTAGAGATTAATTTTAAGATTATTGCTTGATTGTGTTAATAAAACCTATGACGTATGAAAACTACCACAAATAATTTCTAAACAAACAATTCGAAAGTGTTCCCGAGCAAATTGTTCGATAATAAATCAAACTTTAATCGCGATTACAAATCATACGCTTACTGATGCATATAAAGCGATACAGATCAACAAACTAAAGTGTTTTATATTGAAAGAAATATTCATCACCTTGCGTGCTGTGAAAATACGTTTTTGTGAAAATGGGTATATATTGATTGAGGGGTTAAGGATTAATGTTGCATTTTATATGTGTAGACGTAATCTATTTTAGCGATGAGGCTTCCCCTCATGTCTTTTAAATAAGGTTGTGTCTATGTTGGAGTTGTGAGCGATTTAGGTCTTGATAAAACCTCAATAGACACGCATTATTATGATATATTCAACTGATTGTATTGTTATTAACCACGAAATTATCGAATAAAATTTTCAGTCGGGGGAAATTGAAACTTATTCGTCAACTCGCTGGTGATGGTGAGACACTCGCGAGTGTCCGCGAGTAGGCACCTTTGTACAGCCTTGGCCAAAAGTATTAGGCACCCTATGCATTATTTCATATTTTTGATTTAGAGAAAAACAAAACTACTTTTTTTGATTAATTAACTTTATTTCTATTAAAAACACACAAAAACATTAATATTTTGTTGGATCACCCTTTGATTTTATTACAGCAGCAACTCTGTGGGGTATACTGCGTACAAGGTTTACGCATTCCTCTTGAGAAATTGCTTCCCATTCGTGAACTAAAGCCTGTTTTAATGCAGTTTTTGATGTTGTGGAATATATTTTGATGTCTTTCTTTAAAATACCCCACAAATGTTTAATTGGATTTAGATCCGGGAACTGGGCAGGCCAATCTAATAGGGCAATACACTTTTCAGTAAACCAGTGCAATGTGTCGCTGATTTATGACAAGGCGCGTTTTCCTGGTGAAATTTAACCCAAGTAAATTAGTGTTACCAAAAATATAGTAAAATGAAGGTATAAGAGCACTTTCTAATACATTTATGTATTTTTCACTGGTTCATGCGACCTTCGTAAATGCACATTTTGCCGACTTAATTCACAGCCATGCAGCCCCAAATCATTACGAGACTTCTGCCGTGTTTTATGGTTGGGACTACGCAATCTGGGTGATATTCTTTGCCTCTGCGACGGCTCACAAACGTCACAACTGGTTTTCCAAATACCTGAAATAATAAAACAAAATTGACACAATACAAATCTTTATAACATTTCAGTTTGAAGACTAATACAATAATAATCGTTGCAATTGTGTAATAGACTCAATTAATAAAACTTACTTCAAAGTTTGATTCGTCGACCATGGTACATTGGACCAAT